CCTTGCCAGCCCGCTCAGTGGTAGGGACCCAGGTCCAGGCTCGTCCGGTCTGTCCGACCGCGAGCCCAGCCTCCCCTCGCGCGTCGCGCCCAGGCACCTCGCCAGTCTGCCTTTGCGATGGGCGAGCTGGACGGCCAGGATAACGCCAGAGTCGCCCTCGCCGCGTCAGAGGCGCCCCCTCCTCCGCGCGCGATAGGCCCACCAGCGAGGCCATATATATAAGGCCGACCCCGCCCTGACCCTCTCGCCCCCTCTTCCACCGCAGCGCCCCCCCCAGTATCGCAGCGCCCCCCAGCGTATTGCAGCACCTCCAGCAATGCCGCCCATCCGCTCATCCTCGTCCCCCTCGGCCTCGGCTTCGGCCTCGACCTCGGCGACCTCGCCTCCCACCGACTCCCACCCGCACGCCTGCACCGTCGAGGGCTGCGGAAAGACGTTCACCAAGCGCAAGCAGCTCTATGATCACCGAAGCTATGTCCATTCCGGCCGCACCTACGCTTGCCACCACAAGGGTTGTAGCTTCAAGGCGAAGACCACCTCGAATCTCAACAAGCACCTGCGCACGCACGTCGATGTCCGCCCCTACCCGTGCGAGCATGCGGGCTGCGACTTTGCTGCCAAGACGGCCGCGCAGCTGAAGAACCACAGCCTCTCGCACCCGGCCCCCGGCGAGACCGCGCCGCGCGGCTACGTCTGCGACTGGCCCGACTGCGGCAAGGTCCTGACGACCGAGGCGAGACTGTCGGCCCACCGCACGCTGCACACCGGCACGCAGCGTTACGTGTGCCCTGTCGAGGGCTGCGACAAAAAGTACAACGGTCAGGCCCCTCTCGACGAGCACCTGATGGTCCACAACGGCGAACGCCCCTACGCCTGCGACCACGAGGGCTGTGCTTACGCCTGCACTAACAGCGCCTCCCTCAACGAGCACAAGCGCTCGCACCTTGCCAAGGAGGAGCGACCCTTGGTCCCCTGCGACTACCTGGGCTGCGACAAGGCGTTCGTCAGTACCTCGGCCATGGCCTACCACCGCCTTGACCACGAGCCGCTTGACCTGGCCAAGAAGCCGCCCAAGAAGAAGAAGAAGCACCGCACGGCCGCCTCGGAGGACCGCAAGCGCCGACGCCTCCTCAGGCGCCAAGAGGAAGAGGAGGCCAGGCAGCGCGGCGAGGTGCTGCCGGGCGACGAGGAAGACGACGACGACGACAGCGCCGAAAAGGCCCTCTTCGGCATCGACGCAGCCTGCTTCGTCTAAGGCGCTGGATCCTCTCGGCGCTTCGATGCGCCTCGCTCGTTGCACGTCGCCAGCGCGGGCGAATCTCGTCGTCAAAGCAAGGCCAACGACGCGCATCACAAGCAGGCCAGGGCAAGGCCCCGGCGATTGATGCGGTGTAACGCCGCTCCTCGTCAGCGCTATCCATGCCAAGCCCACTTTCCTCTCGCGCAGATCCCTGTCTCGCTGCCTCGCCCATCGATCGGCACCCATGTGTTTGGCCCGACCTCTCTACCCACTCTTTCGTAGCCAGCAGATCCTGCACTCCCGCTCGCCGCCCCTCGTCCACGTCGGTATCGTTGTCTCGGTAGTAGGTCGCACTCTACAGTGGCGCCGCCATCATGGCCGCCGCCTGATCGGTCTACGCTCGTCCACAACCACACGGCCACCTAGGCTCGTCGATCCGTCCAAGCGAAATGGCCTACGTTCTGCCGCACCCTGTCTTTGTACCCCTCCGGCTGCGAATGACCCCACCTGCGGCTCGAAATACCAGAGCCCAGCGCGAGGCTGCCCCAACGCGCATGTGCGAGCATCGGCGGAGGTCTGCGGCATCAGCTGCGAGTGGAGGAACAAGAGGGACGAGCTGATCAAACGGGATGAGCTCGACCCGAGGCTCAACGAAAGCACGTCGGCTGCGATGCACTCCCTACCCGTGACTCTCCACACTCTCTGGCACCCTTTCCGTAAGTACGAAGAGATCCGACAGAGCCAGAGGGATGAACAGCAAGGCCAGCACAGTTCCAAGTGCTCGACGCGTGGTCCGAGAGACACCGCTGAGAAAGACAACGGACCTGGGCGGTGCGGCGAGCTTGACTGCCTTTCATTTCACCGAGGTGGGCGACGTCGAGACACCTGCCTTTGTGCCGCGCCGCGCCACGCCCACTCGCACAGAGGGATGCCTCAAGGATGGGATTGGTATCTCACCATATCGAAGTCGATGGGCCGCTCTCACGCTCCGCTCCATGTATCGTCAGGAGCGCAAAGACGCACGGAAGCTCTGCGTACCATCATTTGGGCGCGTTTCTCCACACAAAATTTGCATTATAAATATATATATACAGTTTTTGGAGACGGACAAGAACAGCCCGTATAGCTAAGTGGTTAAGGCGCCACACTTGTACAATTCTCACCGAAAGTACGCATGTGGCGATACCGCAGGTTCAAATCCTGCTGCGGGCAGCCTTTTTTTAAGCGGCGGAGTTGTCTCAGGACGCTCTGGGAGCGTTCTTTTGCAAGTTCTGAAGGTGTAGGAAGGCGAATGGATCGATGGGAGCGAAAATATCGAGCGGGGAGGTGGTGGCACGGGTGGCGGCGGGTGGAGGCGGGCGCTGTTTTTTTCCCTGAGCGCGGCGAGGGTCGCTTCGGCCCCCCACCTGCACGGGCTGCAGGTCCGGGGACGTCACCGGGTGCCATCCGGGGCGCAGTGCCTGCGAACGGTCGAGCCGACTGCCGGTACCTTGCCGGGTCACTTGGCTGGGGAGCAGGCAGGCGGTACTGTGGCCAGCCTGGCCAGCGCGGCACGTCCGCGAGGCAGACCTTCCGGGCTGGGGTGTGAGGCTCGACCTCGTCTCGCAGCTGTGCCCAGGCTCGACTCTTCTGCTCCTCCTCGCACAGTCGCACATGGCCGATGACGATCGCGGAGCAGATGGAGAGACTGGGACCGAGTGTCAGGACCGCTGCGTACCGCCGAACAGACGAGGCAGGACCGTCGATTCCTTCCCTCGCGTGAGCCCACTGACGAGCTGCTTGACGGCCATCTGCCAGTCTGCATAACGCTGCGCTGCTACTCCGGCCTACTCGTATGACTGGTCAAGCGGCGTCGCTCTGACCCTATGCCTGCCCTGTTCTGCTGCCCTGCTGCAACGCGTTGGTGGTCGACAAGGTTCGGGGCGTAGAGAAAAATCGCTACGCATCCGCACCCTCTCTGTGTCGGGACTGGGCCGCCTGTGGCATTGCGCTGCCCAGAGGCGCCGAAGGAGGGCCGATCTTATGAATCACTCCCTGAGAGCCTGCTCGATGGCCACAACTAGCTTCGGCACTTGCCGCAGCAGCTGTATAGCTCCGTCTCTCGGCGGAGCCAAAATTCACAGGCCAAGCGCGGCGTGGCGGCTGGTCGGGCCAGTCTTGCCAGCCTGCCCATCTCAGCGGCCACGCACCTTTTCCCTCTGCCTGTCGCTTGTATTGCTGGCTCCCCGCCCCTCGTTTCCAGCACATTCCCCTCACTCCTCGCCGCTTGTCCTTTCTCTCCACCACTTCGTCTCCTCCCGCCTCATCGTATCCGCACACCCAGCCTTCTTCGACATGGCCACACCTCCGCCCGTCCACGAGCCGGTCGCGGCCGCAGGCATCGAGCGCCCTGCGGATGACCAGCAGCGCGCGACAGCCCGACAGAGGGGCCGCCGCCTCATGGCGAGCGTTCGCCTGGACGAGCTGCTCGCCGAGTACGACAACCCGAGCGAGCCCGTGCCGGTCGGAGACGGCGCGCCTGGCCAGGCGTATCGAGAGGGTCGGGCCGAGGGCCTCGTCCTCGGGTTCGCCGACCAATGGCTCGCCGAGGGCCAGGCCGAGGGCTTCGAGACGGCTGAGGAGCTACTCGCCTCGAACGTGGTGCTCGACCGCGCGTTTTGGCTGATGTTCGCCATCGCGCTCTGCCAGCCCTTTCCACACCGCAAGGCCGACGATATTCTCGATCGGTCCAACGAGGTCGAGCTTCGCACCCGCTCCCAAGTCACCGTCGTGGCCGATTTCCACAACGCCCTGGCCGCACACAACCGCCTCCGCCCGCACGTCGCCCCCGTCGACGCCGAGCTCAGGAAGGCCGGCATCGCCACCATCAAATCGCCGCACGTGGTCGAAAGGTACGGCCTCCTGGCCACCCAGCGGTACACAAAGGATTGGGCGACCTATGACAACCTCGTCGTCCTCGTCAAGGCGGCGCTCGGCCCCGAGGCTGCCGGCCTCTTCCGCAACGCTCGGGAGCGCGTCTGCTTCGCGCTGCTCGTCAGTCTGGTCTTCTTCGCCGGCGCGCGCCCGGGCGACGTCGTTCGGAGCGGCTCGTACGCCGACAAGCCCATGTACCAGCTCTGCTGGCGGGACGTGCACTTCTTCGTTCAGCTCGTCGACGACAGGATGACCCTCTGCGTGCTCCTGACCATTCGCGCCATGAAGGGCCAGAAGGAAGACCAGAACAAATTGTAAGTCCACGGTCCAGGAGCGTCGCATTGGGTGTGGAACTTGGAGCTGATCGACGATCCCCTCCTTTCTCACAGCCGCCGCGTCGTCATGCGCACCATCCCGGAGATGCCGGGCATGGTCTGCCCGGTGTGGCTCCTCGCCTGCCTCGCGATCGACGACTGCGCCATCGAAGGGGTCACGAGCCCGCGCCAGCTCGACGTCGAGCGCCTCTCCCCGGACGTCCTCAACCAGGGAACCGGCCGCTTCGAGCTGCCGACCAAGCAGCATCTCGCCGACGTCGCCGTCTTTCGCAAGTTCGCTCCGAAGGGCTTGATCGACCTCAGGACCAACCCAAACGCCAGTCGCGAGTGCGAGTGGGTCGTCACAGATGAAGGCAGCACCTACAGCGACATGGCCATCGTGTTCGACCGCGCCCGTCGATTCAGCTTTCCCCTTGTCACCTACTACTCCTTCCGCCGCATGGGCATCACCCTCGCCCACCGCCCGGATATCCTCCCGCAAGACGCTCGTGCCGCCGCCGGTCACAGGCCCGACAGCCGCGTCCAGGACGACCACTACCTTCCCCCCGAGACCCTCTTCGATCTCATGGGCATCGCCGTCCTCGGGGCTCAGAACAAGAACGCCATTTCGTTCTACGGGGCCACCTTTGTCGGCAAGGCGCCCGAGCTCACCCGAGCCGAGCTGCAGCAGATCCAGCAGGATCCTCGCGTCGTGCGTGCGCGCAACGACTACGAGGCAGTGAGTATCAGCGGGGCCGTTCTTCTCGGTCGGAGGCCGTGGGCTGATCCGCGTGCTCCTGCCCTCGGCCCCAACAGTTCAAGGCGCAGGGCCCGACCCGTTCGGAGAGGAAGCAAGTCTACGGCCGCCTGAGCGCACTGCTCGTCAAGGTGCGAAAGGAGATCCTCAACAAGCGCGAGCAGGACCGGGTTGCCAGCTTCCGCAACCAGGCTCTTGCGGGCCTCCTGCTTGACTCGGACGTCCCGGTTCGACCGCCCACGAGCGACGCCGCAGCATCGAGGACCGTCGCGGCCGTCCCGATCGAGAGCCTCGACAACGAAAGCTCCTTCGAGGATACCATCGTCGCTTGCCTGTCCGCCTCGGACTCCCTCGCCGAGCAGGCCGACGTCCGACCGCAGAGCGACTTCGCCTACATCCTCGACGACGACGACGACGTCGAAGGGGAGATTGTCTCGACGCACGACATCCAGCAGCACCTCGAGGCTCGCAAACAAGGCGCCGTCAAGCCCGTCTTCACCGTCTCCGACAAGCAGACCTGCACCGAACGCATGCTCGAGATCCGCCTCGGTCCGCAGGAACACCCGCGCAAGGTCCGAGCCCTGTACGCCGTGCTCGTCCGCCTAGCGAGGGGCTTCAATGCGCGAGAGGGCGTGCCCGAGATCGACTTTTCCCCACGCTTCGCCACCAAGGCGAGCAGGCCGACGTTTTCGGGATTCTTCGAGCTCGCTATGCACGACGACAGCACAAGGACCAACGCCGCAAAGTCGCTGCCTCAGGAATGCGAGTGCGGCGAGCATCGTCACGAGCAGTGGACCCGTGCCTACTGGGTCCACCACCTCGACCAGTGCCGCACCAAGAACCTCAAGGTCATCCTCGGTGGGTCCGCCGTGGTGGCGAGCGAGCGGCTGCCCTGCTGCTGTCTCGCTGCTGTCTCGCTGCTGTCTCGCTGCTGTCTCGCTGCTGTCTCGCTGCTGTCTCGCTGCTGTCTCGCTGCTGTCTCGCTGCTGTCTCGCTGCTGACTTCGGCTTCTTCATCCTTGTTCCCCGGCGACAGATGCCGAGCTCGAGGAGCACTCCGAAAAGCACAGCTGCGGCGTCACCCGAGGACACAAGGACCTGACCACCTGCGGCTGCAAGCTCCAAGACGGCACCATCTGCAAGTTCTCGGCCGGCGACAAGACCGACTACCGCAGCCTCGACAGCGTGCTGCTCACGATCCACCGCCAGTGCTCCCACGGCTGGATCGATAAGTCGCCCAACTCGCTCGTCCTCACGTCGGCGGGCAACTACCTCGTCGGTCCGGTCGCCGTCGAGCAGTACTTCGCCGCCAAGCTCCCGACCGAGGGCATCCCGCTCAAGGACCAGGTCCAGGACGGCGGCTGGGACACCCGCGTCTGCCTGTGGTGCCTCCTCGACAAGTACCTGGCACCGAGCGAGCGCTTGCGAGACCACGGTGGTGGCTACGTCCAGCACGTGTTCAAGCTCCACCTCCTCCGCCCCAAGGGCGACGAGGCTTACGGCGAGGAAAACGAGAGCATGGTCTGCCCGTGCTGCCTCAAGATCCTTCCGGTCTGGGACGTCATCGACCACATCCAGGCCATCGGCCACGGCATCCGCAAGCGGACCCCCGACAACGTCCAGAACCAGGGCTCGCTCGAGGTCAGCGACTTTCCGTCGCCCGTGGACACCCCTTCGTTCTTGGGTCGACTTGTGGCTTTCCTCACCTGGGCCAAGGCCACCAGGGACGCCCACGCGCGTGCCGGCACCACCCCTGACACCGATGGCAAGGCGTTCGTCCTCCACTCGTTTGTCCTCGACGCCAAGGGCGCGCACCACCAACGCCGGATCGGCCTGCGCACCGACGGAGAGTCGAGCGAGTCGGACGAGCCAGCTTCCACCTCCAGCTCCGGTGCGGACGACTCCAGCTCGGGCTCGAGCGACTCGGGCTCTAGATCCGACTCTGCCTCGGACTCGGACGACTCGGACTCGGACTCGGACGCGAGCTCGACGAAGCCCAAGAGCAGGAAAAAGTCGAGGAGCAAGCGCCAGCGCAGTGGCAAAAGCGAGCGCAAGAGCGAGCGCAAGACGAGCAGTCACGGCTCGCGAGGATCGTCGGAGAAGGTCAAGCGCGAAGAGGGCGAGGCGCGCTCGTCCAAGAAGCGCAAGCGACGACACAGCAGCAAGAAGTCGGCCACGGCGGACTCCCCGAAGAGGGTGAAGCGAGAGGACGAGGGCGCAAGGCCGTCGACGTCGTCGTCGTCGCACAAGGTCAAGCAGGAGGACGACGGCCAAGGTCTCGCGGCGACGGCTTCGAGCAGGGCTGCGTCAGAGAGCAGCAAGAGGAAGTGAGGCGCTCCCAGGCTCCAGTGCGCCCTAGCGACCGGCGAAAAGCACGCATACCGATCCACAGAATCTACCAGCGCCCAGAACGACGTCGGCCACGACGATGCGCAGGCACTCGATGCAAGGCACCCAACCAAAAGCATGGCTACCATGCACCCCATAGCGACCGATGAACGAGCTCCGCGATCCAGATCCAGTACTCCGAACCAGAACAGCAACCGCCGATACGGCTTCCAGACAAGTCTCAGCTTCCAGACGATCCAGGCCCTGACGACAGAGGCAGCCCCAAGGGCACTTCCGATCCCGAACCACATGTCTTCGCTTCCGAGCCGAGAAATGCCAGCGATACGATCGCCAAAGAGACAGGAGATGGCGATGGCGAACAGCTTGGTCTGATCGAGGCTCGTGGTGTGAGCGAGCTCTGATCGAGGACGATGTGAGTGCTCGAAGCCGTGTCCGTGGACCATCCGCTCGACGCCCGGAGGTGACGCTCGGCGAAGAACAGCCTAGCAGAGGGTCGAGGGCGTCTCATCGGGTTTACAGATCGCTCGTCGCTCCGTAGGCGGACAGGGGCCAGTCTCTGGGCGTCTGAGCACGAATTCGTAGTCGAGACCGTCCGGGCGGTGCCATCCGATGGGAGATGGTGCGTGGCCGGCATCGACCATCCGCGAACCGCTGAGCATAGACGTCGGGATGCGATTCGATTCTGAAGCCACGAAGCTGGAGCAGGAGCCTTGGATGTGCACGGGCGATGGCGCAGAGGAGGCACTGGACGTGCGAGAGAGGACGGCAGATCCGGCGGCGGCTACCGAGCAGTTGCAGGGTGCGGCAAACCAAGACCTCGCAGCGGGTCTGACGCCTTTCCGCCGTCGAAGACCGTTGAGCAACGACGAGCATGCTGCCGATTGGCTACACAGTGTCCTTGACCGTCGGCCGTCTCCCACCCTGACGGGCTCACCAAACCCTCGCGGCGTGAGGCTGAGCGCTGGTCGGCCTGATCCGAGCGCCTACCGCTGTCCGCGCGCGAGAGAGCTAGGTGCTATACCGCCATCGGATTCTGCTGCAGTCGGTGTCTCCGGTACAGTCCAGCAGCGTCGTCTCTGGCACTCGCGGCGACGGAGATGTCGTCCTCGAAGGGCCATGGGTCATGTCGAGCCTCCGCGACGTCAACGTGGTGGAAGGCCACAAAAGGATCGGTCAAGGTTCGCAGTCGCAGCAAGGCCCGCAGTCACAGGAAGGCCCGCTCTCGCAATGGAACCAGTCGTCGTACAGCGCCGGCGGAGACGCACCAGTTGGAAGCCAGGCGATTGCGTGGTCGAGGATAGGCCGTCCAGGGTGCCGCATAGAATCGAGATTTGGGGTCGAGGTGCAAGATGATGGAAAAGCGAGTCCTTGGTGCGGGCCCATACGATGGCGCTACCAGAGCCGGACACCCATCCGCCGACAGCGCAACAGGCGACACCTTGGATGCCGTGGTTCCTGCGCATTCCGCGATACTCTGGTAGCGTCGCCGCCGAGCTCGACCTGGACGAGCACAGGAGGGAGCGGGGTTGGTGACGAGGGGGTCCGGGTCGCGATGGAAGAAGCGGCGGAGTGTGCCGTGGCGGCGTCAGCGATGGTGGCGGCGGGCGGTTACGAGGCGGGCCCGTGGGCGGAAGGTGGTGGTTGCTAGTCAAGGCTTCCTGGCCCGTTGAGCCGCGTTGAAAACAGGGGCTCTCGGCAGGCCAAGCAACGTGGGCTGCGCATGGGCCATCTCGCACCTGACTCTCCTCGACCGCGCGTCCTATTACCGTCCCGACACGATCGCCAACCAGATGCAATCGAAATCCTTCAGCAGCAAGGGCTACAACTTCCATCGGCATGCGAAACGATGCGACGTGGTGGACCTGGTTGTCCCGCCGCTGTCCACAGCGAAGCGCAGAGGCCGATCACGCTGTGCGACCACCAAGACGCTGACGCGCTCGGCTTTGCCAAGACGACCAGACAGCTCGCCCACGGACGGAACCTTAGGCTGCGCTCAAGAGAGTCGTCCGAGGTGGTGAAGCTTGCATGGCGAGCCGGTGATACCTTGGACGGCGTTGCGGAGCTCGTCGTGGCTCCTCGTCCTGGGATCAAGGTCGTCTACGTCGTGGACGCCGACTGGCGGCAGATCGTCTGCGTCGTCTGGGAAGCCGGTGGCGAGCTGAGCGATCTCACGCTAGCTGCACGCGAAGAGGCCGACGGCGCGGACACTGTTGCGTCGAGAGAAGAGCGTGCAAGAGCTGCGGCTGCCAACGCGGCCGTGGCTGGGCCTTCTCTGCAGCAGGAGATTTCCTCGTTCACGGCTGCCGCTAAGCCATACATCAAGGCTGTCGAGGCCAGGCGCCTCAAGATGGGACGTCCGGCCTTTCACACCCTCACGCTGGGTGTGGCGTCCAACGATGCTGCCCACATCCGCAACCGATCTGGCGATCTGGCGCCCTACTTCACGGCGGGATATCACCACAACCGCGCGGCCAGCGACCGCTTCCTCGCCTCGCCAGCGTTTGAGCAGCTGAGGCGGCAGGTGTGCCGCTGGACCTTTGCCTGCTTTCCAAAGGCCGCCGAAGCGCTGGCATTGATCGGACTGGGCAAGCACGTCGTCGCGCGAGACCAGTCGGCTCTGACTGCCAGCGACGACCGCAGCGATGCTGGCAGCGACTCGAGCGACCTGACTGAGCTGAGCGACCTGAGCGACGTTGGCGATTCGAGCGAGCCGATTCGACCTGGCGTCGCTCAGGCTGACTCTGCCAAGCCTCTATCGACCTTTGACCCTTTCGCTCGCTGCAAAGATCGTGGGCCCTTCTTTGGCTATCCGTATACAAGGCTGACGATCAACCTACCGTCGAGGCACACCAATCTGGCGCGCCACAAGGACTCCCGCGACTACAAGAATGGCGTCTCATGTGTCGCGCCGTTTGGAGCTGACCTAGATCTCGTTGTGGGACCCAACGTGCGGATCAAGGCAAGGCAAGGCGATCTGATCCTCTTTGCAGCGAGGCACCTCGTCCACGGCAACACGGGCGAGCTCACTGAAGAGCGCGGCTCGTTGGTCTTCCACTCGCACCACTCTGTCGCCAGGCACAGCAAGGCGCCGGTCGACGACGATCGAGATGCCGTTTTCCCATACCTCGAAGAGGCTCTGCGGACTGCCATCACACAGTCTGACGAAGTCGGACCTTGTACCGGGCCCAGCTCGTCTAGGCAGGGCCCGTCGCGCACCAAGCACGGGCAGCCCGCCAAGGGTAGCTCGACCTCGGTATCCCTGAGCAAGAAGGCGGAGCGGCAGCTCTCTCGCAAGAAGCGGAAGAGAGATGAAAAGTGGGCGAAGAAGCAGGCACCGAAGCTAGACGAGGCTGCGCAAGCAGATCCTTGAAGTGATGGTGCCTTGCTACCTATGAGCCACAGTCTTGCCGTCAGCGAGCGAAATTGCGGTCAGCCGGAAACGGGATTGTTCGCGCAGCGAGGCACGGGGATTGAGCGAATCGAGGACCGTCGACGTGACAGTTTCCTACGAAACAACGTCGAAACGAGCCCTTTTTGCGCCCAGTCGACTCAAAGCTGCTCCAGGAGTCGTCTTTTGAACATGGGAGAGCAAACGGATCAATGGCGAGCAAAAAATATCGACAAATATCGCAACGAGGCGGTGGTACGGGTGGCGGGTGGCGGCGGTCGGAGGTGGGTGCAGGCGGCAGGCGGCTGTCAAATTTTCGAGGCGCGCGTCTGCGACGGCTTCGGCCCCCCACCTGCACGGCCTGCAGGTCCGGAGACGCCGTCGGGTGCCGCCCGGGCGAATCTGCCTGGCCTGAGGTGCGACGCTGGCGTCGAGCCAGTGCGAGGGACACACGGGCGGCGCTGACCATGAAGGGACGTGGAAAGAGGCCGGCGGCGATGCGGTCAAGCAGGATACCGACCGCCGCGCGTTGTCGCCGAGCGGACAGGACGGCGCAATGAAGCTGCACCCGAGCTAGACCGTCGTTGAACTAGACACGAGACTGATCGTCGTTCTTCCTGCCCGCACTTGGACGAGTATCGGCGAGCGGAAAGACCAGGACTGTGTGGCAGGGCCGTCGCGTGCCGCCAACCCGTCCGCCGACTCGATGATGGCGAACGGGACCGACGAGTCTGTGGCACGCGAGAATCCCTCTCACATCCACCTTGACACTACAGCCTTTGCCGCAAGCATAGACAGATGGTGTTACAGTCGCTCCCAACCTCACGATGGCGGCGTTGGCAGGCGAAAAAATCGCTACGCATGTGCCGCGCTGCATGTCTCATGGACTATTGAAGATGTGCTCAGCAGCTGTGCAAGCATTGCAGGTTGGACAGGCTCAGATGAACTTTTTGGTCAGATTGATGATGTTCAGTTGTCGAGGGCAACCACGGCGAGCAAGTATCTGCAGGCGCGCAACTTTTTGTCTTCTTGTTGTCTTCGTCTCTGTGTTTGAAGGTATGCATGTTCGGTAGGGCTCTAGGGGAGAGACTTGATTGGTGCAGATGCCGAGCCCGTTTCCACCATTTTGTCAGTGGACAAGCTGGGCGGCCTGCGGAGATCCCGGTACGCGAAATCGACGTTCGAGGGGCGGCGCAAATTGATCACGGTGGCTCAAGCCCGGGGCGACATAGACCCCAAATCGACGCGTGCGTGTGGGAAGACATCATCGGACGACCGCCTTGGCGCGACGTCGAGTCCATTGCTGCGGCGACGGTGCGGGGATAGATACGGATAGAGTACAGTGGTAGCGGTAGATGGAATGTTCGACGGGACCGTGGCTGGCGGGACAAGGGGGGGAAAGGCGGGCTGGGACCGGCTCGGTGGCTATACGGCGGTCCACATGGCAATGGCCGAGACGAGGGATGCTGCGCCGGCGACAAAGGCAAGGGGCGCGTGCGGGGCGAGGGCGACGGCGGCGTTGGCGCTGTGGCGCTGTTTGGAGTTGGTGGTGGCGTTGGCAGCGCTCTGCGTGTCTGCCTGCTGCTTCTCGTCGATGTCGGGTTCTGCGACGTAAGGCGGGCGTTCTTCCCACTGCTGTCCGACGCGCCAGGCGTCGGTTTCGCTAGAGTATGACCGGATGGTGGTCGAGTTGAGGATCCAGACGAGGCCGCCGAGGAAATGCCGCTTGAATCCCGGGCTGGATGTCCAGGTCTCGTTCGAGTGGCCGAGTGCGGTGTAGAACATGCGTCCGTCGCCGCCGCCTGCGTCGAGCGAGGTGGCGGTGTCGTCGGTGTTTCCGCCGACGTGGTAGGAGGCGGGGTTGAGGAGGTTGTTGCCGTTGTCGGTGAACCACGAGATGGGGTGCGGGGAGCCCTGTGCGGCGGCGCGGTCGGCCTTGGACGTGACGGGGTCGTGGTAGCTCGACTCGTTGGCGGCGAGCGTGACGCGGCGGCCATAGATGCGCGGGTCGCTGAGGTAGTTGTACATCTCGTCGCGGACGATCCAGGATCCGTTCTTGATCCACGACACGGACGGGTGGGACGAGACTTCGGGCTGGACGAGCATCTCTGCGCGGCACTCTTCCGGGTGGTAGTCGAAAAAGGCGCCGACCAGGCGGCCGTACCAGGGCTGGTAGACCGAGTCGGACGCCTCGTGGACGCCCATGAAGCCGCCGCCCTTTTGGAGGTAGGTGATCATGTTGCGCTGCCCCTGGCGCGAGAGGATGCGGCCCGAGGTCGAGACAAAGACGAGGGCGTCAAACTGGTCGAGCCAGCCGGCGCGGTCAAAGAGGGACTGGTTCTCGGTGGCGACGACGTCAAAGCCGGGCCAGGTCGTGTTGGACCACTCGGTAATCTGCGCGATGGCCGTGGGGATCGAGTCGTGCCGGAACGTGGCCGTCTTGGTGTAGAGCAGGATGCGTTGGCGGGCCTCGGCGGTCGGGGGCAGCGCGAGCGCGAGCGCGGCGGCGAGCGCGCCCAGGGCGGTGCTGAGCTTCATCGCGGGTGGCGGAGCGAGCGGAGCGAGCGGGTAGGGAGCGAGGGTGTTTCGGGTCGCTTCGACGGGCGGAGAGGGAGCGTGGATCAATGAGCGGATACGGTTAAGAGAGACGGCCAAGAGACGGCCAAGAGAGACGGCCAAGAGAGACGGCCAAGAAAGACGGCCTCAAGAGAGTGTATGAAGGTCCGTCGATGTCGAGCCGAAAAGGAGGGGACAAGGGGCGAGGAGTGGCGAGCAGATGGTGGAGAGAGAGAGAGGGCGTAGAGATGGGAGGCCAACGCCAAGGGAGGACCATCATGTTGCTATAGACGCAGAGGCGGTGCTCTGGCAGCGCCCAACACAGGGGAGCAGGGCGTCACGGTGCTTGGCTGGCTGGCTGCCCGTCCGTCTGCCTTGCGAGGCGCCTTGATTGGCCAGGCAGGGCAGGGCGGGACAGGGCAGGACAGGGCAGGACAGGGAGGACAGGGCAGGGCAGGACAGGCCGGACAGGCTCAGCCCGACGGCGAGTCGGTGCGGTAGCGGGACATATGGCGAGCTCAAACCCGCCGCCGCAGGGCTCGCCTACCACGAAGCGAGAGGGCAGACGCCGGGGTCCAGCGCGAGCGACGGGCAGGACGTCTGGCGGTACGGTGTACGATCGTGTCAAACGCCCAGCGGCGGGCGAGGCGGCCCGACCAGCGGCGTCGACAAAGACCAAGACGACGACAAGGACAACAACGACGACGACGACGACGGCCCCCGATGATCGTCCTCATGCAGCGTCGGCTCCCGAGCACAGCACCAACACGCCGTACGGGCCTCGAGGTCACGCTGGGACCCCTGCTTCGGGCCGAACCCACGCGCTACAGTGTGCGCCAGAGCACTACACTGGGGGGCGGCTCTGGTCTCTGACCTCATGAACCGGGGCTGGGGCGCGACGCATGGAAGTTTTTAAGCTATGGAATTGCCGCTCGTCGGACGGACCGCTGGGCTGGTGCCTCTCCATTGATCGTGATCCTTGTCCTGTGACGATTGTACGCGCGCTCGAGCTGGCATGGCGCAGCCGATGGACGTTTATGCTGTGCAGCCCTGCGATGCGCTGCGCTGCACTGCGATGCGCTGCGATGCGATGCGGAACGACGACGAAAACGAGTCGCCGGCAGAGATGACAAGGCTCGAGACGGGAACGAAAAGAAGAAGCAAGGACGAGCGGGCGAGATCTGATTGCGCGGGCGGCCGCTGGCGGAGTGCGAGCGGGCGGGCGGGCGGGCGAGAGGAAAACAAAGGCAAGACCGGCAGGCAGGCAGGCAAAGCACGCTCCTAGGCGAGAAACAGAGGGGATCGTCAAAGGGAGGCCGGCAGGATCAGGCGAGGAGGCGGCTCGAGTGGCCAGGGGAAGCGGTGAAGGGCAAAGGGGGACCAAGGCAAGAGGCTAGAGGCCAGCTGGGGCCGGGCAAGGGAGAGGACCTTGCCTTGAGCCACCTGCCGGTGGCCTCCGCCTTCTTTTGTTTCGACAGTCGCGGCGCAAAAACGACCATCCAACAGCGACGGCCCGTCGTCCTCGCTCTCTCGCTCTCGCTCCCTAGCCTCCCGCTCTCTCACGGCCCCTTGCTCGGCTCCTGCCGTTGGCGAGCAGGAGGCTGAGCACGCCAAGATCCTCGCCCACAGCCCAGAAGGCGGGGCCCGTACGCCGACAGCGCCCTAGCCTGACTGCCACCGCCTCTAACCGGATCGCCCTCTTGCGTTGCGAGGTGCATCCCTCGAAAGCGGCCAGCGGCGAGGGCATGATGTGGCCCCGGAGCGAGAGAGGGGCGGTTTCCTGTGCGCCCAGCAGAGGACGAGGGCAAACCTCACATGCCGCGATCGCGACCCCACCACCGCAACAACAACAACGACAGCAACCACACCCGACGACTACGACCTCAACACCGTACCGTATGTACCGTACCGTACCCAGCCCGACCAAAAATGCCAGCATGCCTGCCTGGCTGGCTGCCCCGCCTGTTGCTCAGCGCTCCGGCGCGCTTGCTTGCTTCTCTGCATGCCAGGCCAGGCCTGCCTGCACATACGCCGCCTGTTGGCTTGGCGCATGACACAGAGGCAGGCGGCGTTTCGGCTCGCTGGCCGCCTCGCCCGATGGCAGGCCATGGCACGGTCGCCCGATCCTACCGGCCGAGTCGATGAAAAATCCAAGGGCTAGCCGGACCAGCTCGGAGCCGCACTTTGAGGGCCAGGCTATATTGGACAGGTGGGTACGCCACGCGTAGGTCTGGCCTGGCCTGGCTGGCCTGGCTGACCCACCTCATTGCCTTCCCAGCTGGCCGGACGGCAAGAGCATACACGCTGCAGCTGGGTGGCGGGACGGCGCTGCCTCTTCCATCGCTGCGCCGGTGCCGTCTATTCTTCCGTCTGCACTCCCACCTTCCCCCGGCTCTGGCTCCACCGCATCACCTCCTCGTCGCTTCCCGTAGCCCTAGCTCCGAACAACCCTCGCCGCAACCAAACACCATGTTCGCCTTTGTCACGTCCAAGTACGCCCAGGCCAAGCGCGAGACCGACACCGTCGCCCGCTGGCTCGCCTGCGCCGCTCAAAACTACGGCCTCGCCTTTGCCCATCTTCGTCCCGCCGACGCCAGCTCGAACCCCGAGCAACCTCCCGAAAAGACCCGCCAGCAGAAGAAAAACGCCAAAAAGAACCAGCGCAAAAAGGCAAAGGCCGCCGCCGCGAAAGCCTCGTCCGCTGCCGCAGACCTCCAGCAGGGCGAGGCAGCCTGCGAGCCTGCCAAGGTCTCGGCGCCGCCGCCACCGCCTACCTCTACCGCCCAGCATCGCAGCGGCAGCTACATGCTGAGCGCCGCGCAGTTTGTCGAGGCAGCCAAGCACCTGCATGATCGCCAGGCGTGTGTCCCCGTCGAGGTGATCCAGCTGATGCGCCGCTGCATCGACTCGCGCAAGAGCGCATTCATGATGTTCAAGTGGCTCCCCACTTTCAACCGCAGGAGTCACCTGCACTTCATCTCGGTCATTGAGGAGGCTCTCGCGCTCCTCGAGGACCTCGTGCCGAAGCACAAAGACTCGGGTGCTGCCGCCACAGCTACGGCCGATGCCGCCACGGACGGCCGCGACAGCTCCTTCTCGGCGGACAAGAACCGCTTCGGCCTGCTCGACATCGAGGAGGTCGAGGACCTGCCCGACATCGACCTTCCTCCGCCGCCTCGCCCGGCTGCTGCCGGCCGAGCAACACAGCCGTCTGCGGTGTATTCACTCGAGGAGGACGAGGACGAGGTGCTCTTCTACGTCATCGCCTTCTACCGAGATCTCCACAACCTCCGCGAGTATCTCATGCAGACTTGGGCCGACTACCGCCGCGGCAAGATCAGCCTCGTCACGGCGAGCATCGTCACCAACACCGCCCTCGAGGCCATCCGCAAGACGCACGACGAGTTCTCGGCGCGCTACGTGCCGCGCTTCGGCTCGGTCGAGGCGCTGACTGGCGTGTGCATCGAGCTCGTCAAGGCGCACCTGGGCATCCCCCACAGCGGCCCGCTCCTCAACCCCGACCTGATCGATGACGAGGACGACGCCACCGTCGCCATGTACGACTTCTTCTTCCTGCCCGTCCTCCAGTTTGTCGAAGGCTTCCAGAGGGTCCTGGTCGACGGCAAGGCGCCCGTCTGCAAGAAGGGCTACTTTGGCGTTTACCGCGCCGACGCCGACCGAAGCACCATGACCTACCGCGAGCGCTACGATGCGGACAAGGTGCTGATGGCCGAAGCTCTCGGCGAGTTCACCTTGCTGGGCTATATCGAGACGGAGGGTCTCCGAAGCCTCGAGTCGCAGAGCTGCAGCCCTGGAGCCGCTGCGCACGGCCAGGCTCGTGGTGCAAAGGATCGGCAGACCATGGCGTCGTTCGACGAGATGGCCAAGGAGCTGAGCGAACTGCGCGACTCTCGCAAGCTCACCATCATGACCTTGCTCTGCGTGCAAGTCTTCCTCGACATCAACCACGTCCTGCAGGGCGACGTCGAGCGAGGCCTGGCCGAGTACGATCGCACTCTGGACCGCATGAGCCTCAGTCTGCAGCGACGCAAAAAGGTCGAACCCACGACGCCGCCTGTCAACTGGCCCCCTCAGAACGAGCGCGCCCTGGCCACGGTGGCCGAGATGACGACCAAGGAAGCCCGACCGCACGAGCACTTCCACCAGTACAGGGTCAGGCAGCTCTTCGAGCTTGGGCTCCGCCGCAGCGAGATGCCGGAGGACCACGTCTTCTTCAAGCGCAACCCTCTCTTCTGCGGCATGATGCTCTTCCGCTCTCTGCTCGTCTACCAGGAGATGGGCCTCGCCCTGGTCGACTGCTGGGGCACCGTCCTGTACACGGCCCATCTCTACGTCGCCCACCGCCACTCTGGCGGTCTACCCGGCAGCCCAAACTGCCCGATCCAGGGACTCTTCGAGGACCTGCCCGGCCTCAGGTGGCCGGACATCGAGACGGTCATGGCGATGCACGGTCCCGAGGCCATGTTCGCGGGCAAGGTGCCGACCAACCCGGACGAATCGTTCAAGAGCTTTTCGCTCATGGTGGGCTATTCGGGCGAGGCCGTCAGCCGGCTGACGGCCGACGTCACCCAGTCCGAGCTGCTCCGCCGCACCCGCGACCTGCGACGCAGGCCTTTGCTCGACGCGAAGCGTGGACCCAAGGGGCTGGCCGATCCCTCGGTGGTGGTGCGCATGTTCCGCGACCGCTACTCTCCCTTCGTTCGCACCGACGTCAAGAATCTCGGCGAGATGGCGGCAGCCACCGGAGCGAGCAGAGCGAGCGGCCTCGCGATCGACGTCGAGACCATACAGGAGCTCCTCTCGGCGATCAAGGAAAAGGACGCCACGGGAGAGGCGCTCTCGGCGATCCAGAAGCGCCGACGCCACCGCGTGCGCACCAAGTACTCGCTGCTGCAGCTCCTCGACGTCCTCCGCGCGGGTCTCGAGGTCGAGGGACGATCGCTGTGCTTCGACTACGTCGAGATGCACGTCCGCTGCATCATGGTGCTGAGGCGCGTCGTCAAGGCGGTCGAGGAGCAGCTGACGAAGAAGGTGGGCCCGAACTTTCTCGACGACGAGGGACAGCTGCCCTGGATCGTGGGATGGGTGCTGCAGTTTGCGTGCAAGAGCGGCCAGGCGGGCAGGGCCATGGGCATGGTCAAGGGTCAGGAGCCCGTCTTCAGCCGCATGCTCTGCAGCGCCAGCAGGGCCCTCGTCGAGCAGGTCAGCGAGTGGGAGATGGAGAAAGCCGTGACCAAGGGCAAGGGCAAGGGCAGGCCCGAGACGGCCGACATCTTCTTCCTCTGAACCGTTCTCGCATCACCAGCCGCAGAGCACCGACTCCCGCGGCCCAAACGGGCCCGCACGTCATCATCGCAATCCGAGCAGCGACCATCTCTGGCGTCACTGCGTCCAGACGAAGAGCGATGTGATACTGGCACGCGGTTTGTTTCGGTAGCGAAGGCCGACTCGGCTGCCCCTTCTCGCGCGACAAGCCCGCCCATCGTTCCAACACGACGAGCCAGGATCAATAGCTGAGCTTTTTCCTTTCTCCTATTCCGGTGTGTCCCCGCATCGGAGCGACGCACTGCACGACGTCTCGACGCCTATCTACATGGACCGATGGGGCCACCCGCTAGGGATCGAGCACCTTGACGCCGGCATCAAACGTGCCGAGGAAGACGGCGCCGCCGAGGCCGATCCACATGGTGCGCGGCACAAAGCCGGAAAAGAGGGCCTTTACGCCCTCGGTCCGGAAGATGTGGGTCAAGGTGGGCAGGATGCGCGTATTGACGCCGCGCGGAAGGCCACCCGCTCCGCCGCCGGCCGCGTTGTCGGCGACGGCGCCGACGTCGCGGTGCAGCATGATGCGCGTCTTGACGACGTCGAGCGGCGTCGTGAGCCCCGCGGCGATGGCGCCCGCAATGCTGCCGGCGATGCCCGCCTGCCACGTCGGCAGGTCGCGCACCCGCTTCTCGTTGGACACGCCCGAGTCGGCGTCGTGGCCCAGCAGGCTGGAGCGCGACATCTCGAGCTTCAGCCGTTCGTAGAGCGGAAACTGGATGCAGGTGAAGGGGATCTGTGGTCGATGGAGAGAACAACGAGAGGTGCAGGATGACGCATCAGCCTGTCTGGCCCGCCACGCATGCTCGGAACGACGGGTGCACGGCTGCTCACCTCTCTGCCGACGGTGCCGGCGAAGCCGCGGTAATACCCCCTGAAGCCGCTCTCCTTGAACACCATCCTAAACGCCTGGGCGGTGCTCGTCTTGGCGCCGTAGCTCGACGTCTGCTGGCGCGACTTGACCACCTCGGTGGGCACGCGGATCAGGCAGGCCGCCGTCTCGGCAATCGACGCCGACGCCATGTGCAGGCCCGCCGGTCCCAGCGAGCCGCGCTCTCCAAACACGTCGGGCGCCAGCCGCCGCAGCGTGGGCTTCATCGACTCGTAGGTGGTGAAGAAGACCGAGGCGCCCGGTGCGCTGCCGACGGCGGTGCTGCCGAGGCCGCGGTAGACGCCCTTAAAACCTCCCGCCGCGAGGAAGCCCTGCGAGCTCTGCAGCCGCGTCTTGATCGTGTCGATGGGGTAGAAGAGCAGGTCGACGGTGAGTCCAGACAGCGCGCCGGCCTGCAAGGGATACACAGGGGAAAGCGAGGGGGCGAGGGGGCGAGGGGGCGAGGATGGCTTGGTCAGACGTCAGACGCTGTTGCCCGGCCGACTGGCCGGCATCGGACAGCCACCACTCACCATGAGAGCGCTCGTAAACGACGGGCCGGTCAGGGCCTTGTCGAGCTCTGCCTCTTCGAGCACCGACGGGATGCTCGAGTGGGCCATGCGCGACCTCTCTAGGCTCTGGGCCGCCGTCAGCGGCGCCTGGTGTGATGGCTGGTACTGCTCTTGGCGCTGCTCGGAGAGCACGCTCCTCGGCACATCGGAACGCCCCGTGACGGCGTCCGTCGTGATGGTCGCCTTCGACGTCGACGGGCGCAGCAGCGACGCCGCCGGGGCTTTTGCCCAACTCGGCATAGCCGGAACCGGCTCGGAAGCGCCGCCGGCACTGCCGTCGCTCGCAAAGCGGCTGTGGAGCCTGCTGTTGGATCGCTGGCCTTTGAGCCTCCGCAGCGTGTCGCTCGCCTTGCGCCCGCCCGCGCCGGAGCTCATCGAGCCGGCAGCGACTTCGCCGCGCGCGTCGCCAAGGCCGGCCTGGGACGGCTGAGACCCCTCGGGCGTCTCGGAGATCGACGGCGACGTCTTGGAGATCATGTGCGCCATGCCTCGGGTGCGCGACGAGATCGAGGCGTTCGACGAGGTTCGCCTGCGAGTCGGCATGCCGGCATCGAGAGGCGATAGGCCGGCGTCGAGGCTGTGCAGGCTGGTATCGGCCGTGGCGGTCGAGGTGCTGAACTGCGCCGAGGAAGATGCGGTGATACCGCTCGTGGACGGGGTGCTGTACATGCTCGTGACCCGGGGCCTCGCCAGGCCCGCGCTGGCCAGCCTTGGGCGGGCTCCGGGGATGCCCGGAGCCAGCTGGGATGCCGTCCTGGAGCGCGACAGGGACGGACATGACCCTTCGGCCTGGTCGTTTGACGAGACGGGGAAGAGCATCTGCCGATTGTCGTCGCTCGGAGAGAGGCGGCCGCTGTCGTCGCCTGTGCCGGGCGGGAACAGGAGCGAGGGCGTCACCGAAACGACGCTCGAGGGACGCCGCGGGCGGGCGTGGGCGAAGCTGTAGTCGGTTCCGACGCTGACGGTGCTGAGGGCCGGCGAAGGGGGCTCGGCAGCTCTGCGACGCTCCATCTCCTGGACCGATGGGGGCGAGCGTGCGCTGCCCAGGTCAATCGAGCTCGGGATGCCGCCGCTCTGGCTGATGGTCCGGGTTAGCCGCTGACGGGTGTCGGCCGTGTGCTGGGCAAGCGCAGGCTCCTGAGTCTGGCCAGACGCAAACACGCTGGCAACAGACGCACTCGGAGCGGCTGGGGTCGAGGCGAGGCGCATCGTCAGGGCGGGGCGAGCGCTGGCCTCGTGCTTGGCCGCAGTCTCGATGTCCTCGGGCTCCACCTCCTTGAGCGAGTTGCGACGGGGACGCTTGTTCTTGGCCTCCAGCTGGGGTTCGGCGTTGGCCCTGGTAGCAGCGGCTTGGGCCTTCCGCGTCGCGTAGTCCGGAATCGAAAGCTCCGGCAGCAGCTGATCGAGGGAGAGGATGAGCGGCTGGAACAGATCGCCTTCGGCTGCGAGATTGCCGCCAGACAGCTTCGACTCGAGGCAGGCTTGCGCTTTGTCGGCAAACGCGCGGATCTCTGGCTCGACGGCATCGCCCGCTCGCGCCAGGTCAACGGCGGCACAGCCGGCCCAGGCCGAGCGGAGTCCTTCCAAGAGTTCAGCCTGAGGGTCGAGGACGAAGGAGCGCGACTTGAGGGCGGCGGAAAGGTACTTGACATGGGCTCGCAGCGACTCGAGCTCTCGATGCAGGGCTGCCTCGTCATCTTCCTCGTCCGGGCCGAGGCTGGCCATTCGGGACGGGGGCATCGAGGCATCGCCCATGGTCTCCTCAACATCGGCCGCGGGCAGACGAGCGGCAAGCCTCGAAATGGCGTCTTCGACGCGGATCCAGAGGTCCTCCTTCTGCTTCTCCGAGGCCTCGGCGTTCGGGGCGTCCCTGCCAGCAGACTGGGACCCGCTGAGCTTGCTGATGTCGGGCAGAGCGACCGAGGACCGCTGGATCGGGCTGAGGGCGGCCACCTCGGGCGCAATGAGGGCGCGCAGAAGGACGGCAACCGCCTCGAGCGGCGGCTCCCACAGCTCCCTCAATCGGCGCGAAACCGAGGCCGAGGCCGAGGCGGCCTTGATCTGCGCCGACAGCCTCCTCTCGAGGATGGCGAGCGCCTCTAGGCTCCATGCCAGGCTGCGCAGCGGGTCGCGGTAGACGAGGACGACGACGGGCGCGTTGCCCTTTGTGATGCCCAGGGCGTAGAGGCGGGCGAGCGAGATGCAGGAGGTGGCGGAGCCGAGCACGCCAGCGCGGTAGAGGAGCAGGATGGCGAGCGGGTACGAGTCGCGGAGCATGGCGGCCTTTGCCTCCCACTCGAGGCGCTGCACGTCGTTGGAGCGCATGATCTTGCTCTCGAGCAGCTCCTGGCGCTTCCACCGAGTCTCTGCGTACCCGCGGAGGCTGGCGTGCTTTGCGCCGTGGCTGCCCGAAGGCTTCGACTTCGACTTCTGAGGAGCAGCATGGCGAGATCCTGCAAAGAGGTCGTCCAGCCTGGACGCCCGGTCCCTGCTGGTGGCCGGGGCGGTAGTCGAGGTGGCCGTCGCGACGACGTTGTCGTCCTTGGCGCGATCCATGGAGCCCGCGCTGCTGCTATCCAGCTTCACGCTGGGCGCAGAGAACATGGCGGAAGGGGTGGCGGCGGCGGCAGCCCGTTGCTGGTCGTCATCGTCGAGGTTGGGAGAGGCGAGGCCGAGACCGAGCTCGGAGCTGAGGGAGCCGAGCTGGCTGGCGAGGTAGGATTGGTGTACGTGCAGGCTGACGATGGACGACGAGGACGTGTTGCGCCCGAGCTTGGGCCTTTGTTCGAGGGAGAACGAGGTGCGACGGGGCAGATACATGATGAGATTGTCCAGGAGCGGTCCCTGCGCGAAACAGTGAAGAAGGAGCGTGCGCGTTGCCTGGCGAGAGGAGGGGCGCCTCGTCAAAGGGCGAGCGAGAAGTAGCGAGAAGGCGTGAGGGCGAGACCAAGGACGAGCGGACTCTCTCGATCTCTTTCCGCCCCAGCCTCGTGTCTACGGCCGAGACGTCAAGAGGAAGAGGAGCGAAGGAGCGAAGGAACGGTTGGCGGTGAACGGCGAGGAAGGGAAGTGGATGGGCGTGGCTGCGAAGAAGAGGTCGTAGAGGCAGGTAGGGACGGCAAGAGAGGCAGGGCGAGCTTTCCGGCTTTTCGACGCCCCGCCCGTCATGCGAAACCTGTCCCGCCCGCTCGGCCACGCCGCGCTCGAGCCGGCGCGCCTCGTCTGGCCTGGCCCAGCCGCCTGCCTCGTCCGTGCGCTGCCGCGGGCGTGCGTGCATCTTGGCACACGAAAACGCCCGGCGTCCGATAACCTCGGAGCAAGCAACTAAGGCGTCAGCACAACAGCCATGCCAGGCGTCACCTGGCTTTCGACCTGCCTCAACGACGACTGACCTTTCGACGGCTGCAACGGATCAGCAGCCTGACTTGTGCGCGCCGGCCTCGAGCCTCATGTCGGTAATGGGCTTCGGATCTAGGCGCAACGCGGAGAGCTAGAATACATGGGAGTGCGGAACGACTTGCTCTAGGGATCGTCTGAGACGGAGGGACGCTCTGCAGCGCCAGAGCCAGTGATGGCGGCGACACGGGCCTTGAACCTGGCAGAGCGGGACGACCTGGCTGCTTACGCCTGCGCAACGCCAAACAGCTGTCGATCAAGAGGTGCGCATGCATCGTGCAAAACACCACAGGGCATCAGCGGGGCGGTCCGGCGATTCCAGGCGGGCTGCCGATGCACCGTGGCACTACTCACCCCAGTCAGGTAGCCTTCGTAGTCGTACACGGGCTCTTCGACGCCCTCGACCTGACCCTGGGGCATCGCAGCCTTCAGGTAGTCGATCGAGCCTTGCGGCAGCAATGCCAGCCTCAGGTCCAGCTCGGTGACGTACGGCTAGCAGCGCGTGGGTGGGTTACAGGGCGTCAGCGAGCGAATCGGCTTGACAGCTCGGAACCACGAGCATGCTCACCTTGTCGCCTGCGAGGCCCTGGAACGCCTCCAGCAGCTGGTCTGGCGAGGTCGTGTCCTCGGTGATCTCCCTCTGCGCGGCAGTCGATGCCAGGTCGAGACGGCGGGCCAATGTCAGCGAGTCGCGCCTTGCGGCTGGCTGACCGTGCCGCCATCCGGCACCTTCCACGGTCGGCACTCACCAAGAACGTGAGGAACGCATCGTAAGACACCGCCCCGAAGCTCTCCGACAGCTGGAGGTGGATCTGCTCGATGTCCTCTTCCTGTCGGAGGGGAAAGGGCGAAGCCGTCCGGGTCAGGCACACCGTGCGCTAGGTAGCCGTCGAGCCGCTCCGAGCCTCGACAACACTCTACTCACCGTGTAGATGATTCCAAGGCTGGCGAGCGCCGCGCCCAGCTCCGCCATGGTGAGCGTGTTGGAAGCGTCCTTGTCAAAGTATCGGAACGTCGACTCAAACTCCTCGAGCTGTGCCGGTGTCAGGTTGGTGTGCTGCCTCGAGACGATCTGCTCGGTGCCAGGATACGGGCGGACGGTCGTTCGAAAGCGGCTTCTGCATCAGTGCGTTTGCTCCGCTGGCACGGCGAATCCGGCGCCCCTGTGCAGTACCCACCTGGTTCTCGATAAACGCCAGCTTCTTGTTGACGCTCGTCGTTACGAGCTCGAGCTCAAAGATGAGGTCGTCGACGGTGAAGATGGTGTGGTCGTTTTCCTCGACGTTGGCCTCGGTGCACTCCTTCTCCACCGCGGCAATTGTTGCCAGATCGTCCTTGAACGGCTCGAGACTCGCCTGCAGGTGCTTGACCTCGTCCAGCTGACGCTCAAGGTCTCCTTCGAGACCTGCGATGCCGCCGGCAATCTCGCGCAGCCGCCCCTCGAAGTCGTTGGCGGCACGGGCAAACTTGAGCCGCAGGTTCTCCTTGGCGTTGCGGATCTCGGCGTTGATGGCCCGGCTCCTTTGCGCCTCGGATCTGGCCAGCGTCTGCCAGGCCGCATCGATATCGGCCTGAGCGAGGCCCTCGGACGGCACCCACTCGCGCAGGTGGTAGGTCTTGAGCTTGGTCTGGATGTTGCCGAGCAGCGCCGCGAGGTCGGTCCGCTCGCGCACCCACATGCGCTTGACGCCGTGCTTGTACTCGTTGAACGTCGTCAGCTGTGAGCGAGCGTCGGCGTAGGTGCCGAGGAAGGTCGCTGCGGCCCAAGCCTGCTGCACGTCGCGCATCGCGTTGATCAGCTGTACAGCAGCGTACGAAGCGGCGCGGGGGGTGGGGCGAGGTATCGCATGTCAGCGAAGATTCGACGAACGAGGAACGGCAAAGTTGAACGGGCGATCCCTCTGCCCCGTCGGCCGCAGCACTCACCTCTCTCGCCCTCCGCTCGTAGTCCTGCTGCATGACCCAGGCGCTCTGCATGACGTCGGCAAAGGTGGCGACCCTGCGGCTGACGACCTCGGCCTGCTCCATGGAGCTGAAAGCATGGAAGTACTGGGCGACGTACGTCATGACACTGCGCTCGTCGGGCTTGGCGCGGTCGCAGAGGTCCTCGACGTCGAGCAGCTGCGGAATGCCAAGGTGCTGCTCGGCCACCTCAAACGCCTGTCGCGTGCAGGCGTGCGGGTCAGACTTGGGCAGCGCGTCGTAGTTGAGCAGGTCCGGTCGATGGCGGTGGATGAGCGCGCAGAGTGCGAGGCCGTCTTTGAAGGAGCTGGTGAAGTTGACCACCTCGACCTCCTTGTAGGGGGCCGTCTTGCGCTGGCACCAGAGCAGCAGACCCTCTTTGGCGGTGACACCCTCCTCGCTGTCGGTGTTCAAAGCCGAAAGGGCGAAGGAAGTCGTCAGCAGCGTCTCGCTACCAAAACTACGGCTGTGCTGCGCTCGCAAGCGGTCTCGTGGCTCGCTCACCTGATGTCAGCGATCGTGAAGCGCAGAATCAGCGTCCAGATCATTCCGAGGATCAGCTTGAGGTTGCCATCGACAATGTCTGCGGTAGGGAAAGGCGGGGAAAGTGTGGCCGGATCGGGCAAGGGAGGGGCGTGGCCTGTTCCGTCAGCGTGCTCGGGCCACACGAGGCCTGGGCGTTGTGCGGCGGCCCTCTCACCTTCTGCCCCGACGTTTGTGAGGACGACGCCGCGGCTCTTGATGAACTCGAGGGCGAGGTTGACGTTTTCGGCCATCTGCACGCGCATCCGCGGCGTCTTGTAGTAGCGGCCGAGGCTGACGTCGCCCATGATCTCCATGAGCTGGACCAGCTTGACGCCGTCCGACAGGTCGGTGGTGAGCGACGTCATGGGCGGAATCTGCCTCGATTCGAGCTTGGTATTGAGCCTGGGAGGTCAGAGGGGCGTGTGATCGGATCGATGAGCCATGTGTGGCCATGGTATCAATTCCACAGGCTTCGAAGCACATCCCCTGGCGAGCCTACCATTTGGTGAAGGTCTTTGCCTGGACCTCTTCCCAGCCTCGATCCTGGTCGGGCAGGCCGACAAGGGTCGAAGTGCGCTTGTATGCCATGTCGAGTCGCGACTGCGGCCGGGGCCTGCGGGACGGGGTCGGTAGGAAGGGTGTGTCGCCTCTCGAAGCCCACGTAGACTCGGTGGCAAGAGTCGGCCTTGGATCTTCTGAGTGCGGCGAGTGCTGGTGTTGGTGCTGGTGCTACACTGGTGCTACGCCTTCTAGCTGAGCAGCGAGGTGCGGGCCTCAGCAGATGCCCTAGTGGCGGGCGAGCGATGCGGTCGTGGATGAGCGTGATGCGGTAGATGTGATGGGCGGGCAGTCTGGGTCGAGTAGCGAGCTTGGTCTGCGGGCAGGCGCGAGGTAAGCTAGGTGGCGAGGGAGGGTCGGAAGAGAGGAGCGGAGGTCAAGTGGAGCGGCGGCCGAGAGAGGGTAGTTAAGTTGGAAGTTGAGGCGCCGACAAACACACGCGCGCGACCAACGGGGTGTTGGTCTCTCTCTGCTCGAACCCTTTGCCTGCTTGCCTGCTTGCCTGCTTGCCTGCTTGCCTGCTTGCCTGCTTGCCTGCTTGCCTGCTTGCCTGCTTGCCTGTGTGCTGGCCGGCTGCTTCTTCCATCTCCTCGAAGCTCGCCTGCCCGCCCCTTAGTTGCCTGCCTCTTCTGCTTCAGGCCCCGGCCCAACCGCCCTCGAAAAATAAAAATAAAAATCCGAAGCAGCGGTCGGCTGCGAGGCACAGGCCACCCACCGGCCAGCCTCGCCGCCATTCTCGCCAGGTGCGGGGGCAAGGCCTTGCTTGCTGGCCCTGTCGGACGACGCGCCTCCTCGCAGCCCCGCCTTTTGGCCGCTCGACCATCGTCGAGCATGGCATCGTCATCACGACGACAGTGGAGACGACGGCGACGGTGACGGCGACGGCGACGGTTGGTGATGGTGGCCGGCCGTTGCGCGCGTGCTGGCCGTACTCGTGGCCAGCGTACGTTGGCTGCGTGAAACAAGCGGGCGTCGGCGGTGGGCTGTCGGCCCGTCTCCTGAGGAACCCTAGCCTCGTTGTATCCACCCGCCTGCTTGCCTGCTTGCCTGGCCTGCTGGCTGGGCTGTCTGCAGGGCACGCGCAGCTCGAGCCGCCGACCCGAAGCTGCTGCCGACCTGCCTAGGCCAGGCCAGGTGTGGCTCTGCCCGCCTTCTTGCTTGTCTTGGCTTGGCCTTAGCTTCTCTTCTTGGCCGGCCCGCCGTTTGGGCGCAGCCAGCTGATCCGCGCAGCCCGTCGAAGCTGGAACATCCGGCCGGCCTTTGGGCCTGCTCGTACCCACCCCCCTCTCCCCTCCCTCTCTCCCCTCCTCCAACCGTCCGGGCGTCGTGGTATCGGCTGCGTCCATCCCACTTGCCCCCTCCCTACCTCTTTGGCCGCACCGCGCCCCTCTTCATCCCCCGTTCTTGGCTCGCCGCCCCCTACCGCGCGTGCCACGCACTACTGCCCGTTCGACACCTTGGCACGGGCCCTTGTCGACCGGACCGCAGAGACCAAACAGCACGAGGGGTCCGATCCCTAATCTCGTGCCTTCGGCTGCCTCGCGATTCGATCCGGCCTGGACCGCTACCACCATCGCACAGCCACCAGGAGTGTCCCGGAAACACGCGACGATCCAACGACTCCATCACGACAAGGACACCTAGTTCCGCCCCCGCCAGCGCGAGTCTTGTTATACCCACCCTAGATCGGCACCCGCTCTCTGACGGATCGGATCGGCCAAACTTCGCCGCCATCACGAACCCCTCTCACCGCCCAGAATCCACATCTTCCTCTTGTGCCATCTCGCCATCGCACGATCACAATCCGCTGCCGGTCAGCCAACCAACATCACCGCAGCCGCTGCAGCCGCTTCCCGAACCGACCAGATCCGTCGCTCATGCTCCGTCCCACGCCGAAGAGCCAGGGCAATCACCAGCGCGACTGATTCTGGACCGTCACCCCGTTCCAGCTCGACGGCCGAGATACCCTTCCGATGAAGGCCCTCTTCTCCGGCTTCGGAAGGAAGGGCGCCGCTCACTCCCCCGCCGGCGCATCGACAAAAGAGGGCCCCTCGCCATCTCCTCCTAGCCACGCCGACCAGCCTCGCACCCCGCTTCGCCACTCCCAGGCGAACAACCACATTTCCGAGAAGCCCGTCCACATCGTGGCCACCCAGAGCAGAGGCGGCGACATCGGCGCGGCCCCCGCACCGACCAGCTCGGCCTGGCGAACTGACTCCAGAGAAGGCGGTCAGGGTGGCCACGGCGGGGCAAATGGAGCGACGACCGCCGGCGGCAGCAGCAGCAATGGCGTGGGCAGCGGATCAGATTGGAGCTCCCGTCTGGCAGGCACGATACGAGGGTCGACGCGACGCAGAAAGGAGCGCGGCAAGCTGTCGAGGGACGAGGAGCTGCTGCCGCCGCATGAGGTGCATGCCATCGGTGAGCCGGGCAACCGCCACCCGCCTTCGAGCTACCGCAATCCGTCCACGCCGCGCAGGGACAGCGCTCGCTCGGATCCGTACGAGGAAGCCTTCGTCAAGTCTGCAGCTCAGATCGAGCCGCCACTACCGTCGCCCACGGCGGCCAAGCCGCCGAGCCGCTCGTCTTCCTTTCGCAGGAAGATGTCCGCGGGTCCACGCGCTCACAACGAGCCCTCCTCGAGCACCTTGACGCTGAGGACGTTGAAGTACCCGCCGTCATCTTCGCGGTCGCCTGCTCGTCCGATGTCGGCTCAAAGCGACGCGAGGACGTCGAATGCATCGTTTGACGGATCCAACCAGAGCGGGTCCGCCCAGCATCGACTCGGCGAGAGGAACGTCTTCGGCTTCGGCAGCGCCGAAAGCAACGGGCATAGCTCCCCGTCATCAGCGCCTGCAGCCACGGCTCCGCCGCCGCCGCCTCCTCCGATGACGTCCGAGGAGCTGGCGAACAAGCTCAACGAGCTGGCCGTCTCCAATGCCGACGGTCTGCTGAGCGACGACGAGTACCGAACGCTCCGAGCGGGACTCTTCGAAAAGATGATGCAGTTGAACCAGGAGTCGATGCAGGTGCCGCAGGAGCCCAACGTGGGAGGCCTCGGGGCTATGGCAGCATCCATCGGGTCCAGAGTCGAAGCCGGTCATGCCGGTGCGGATCCCGCCGCCGAGGCTCGCAGCGTCGTCAGCCAGCACCGAGAAGACGGGCGAGCGCCGACGCACGCCAGCCTCAAGGCGTCGAGCTCGCGCAATTCGACGCTGGGCAACGTCTCGAGCTTCTTCCGCCGCGGCGGCCAACCCGTCCAGAAGCAGTTGAGCGGAGACTCGCTGCTGGGTAGCCCGACCAAGGGGTTCGAAGACCGAAGGACGGTCTACAACTCGGCGCCCTCGCTCCTCTCGAGCGGCGACGGCCACTCGGCGCGGCCGAGTTCGTTCCACACCCACTACTCGAACCCGGCCAGGTCGAGCCGCGCCTCGACCCTCAGCCGCTTCCGCGCCGGCAGCCAATCGAAGCGTCTTCAGGCCGAAGTCATGGCCGCCGACATGGAGCGATCCTACTCGGCGGCGAGGAGCGCCCGGTCGCTGCGGGCCCAGTCGACTCACGACGCTCCGCTTGCGGCCACGGCCTCGACACGTTCCGGGCCCGGCAAGTTTGGATCGAGCGGCACTCTCCCGGCGAGCGTCAGCTCCTCCGGCAAGCTGGCGGGCTCCCACGACAGCGAGGGCTCCACCACCGCCGCCGACCTCTTCGGCGTCGACTATGCCGAAAAGTCGTCGGCCGAGATCCGCGCCGAGATTGCCGTGGTCCAGGCCGAGGGGAGCCGGCTGCTGGACACCTTTGACGGCCTCGAGCAGACCGTGATCGGCAAGTACCGCATCGACTACGCTGTCCTCAAACGCGCCGTCGACGAGGTCAAGGGCGAGGCGGGCGGCGGCGGCCACCACCCTCCTCTCGGCGGCGGGCCGGGGCGCGTGCCGCCGTCTTCCTACCGGCCGCCTCGAGCCTCGAGCCTGTCGCGGCGGTCGTCGGCCCCCGGCGCCTCCACCGGCGGCGAGGCCTCCGTCGATGGAGCCAGCCTCTCGGCGTCGAGGCATCAGTTTGGCGCGGCCATGACCTCGTCGCTCAGCGCCGACGACGCCGACGGCGGCGCTGCGGCCGTGGACCACGAGGTCGAGGCGCTCAAGGCTGAGCTGCGCGAGGTGCTCGAGAAGCGCGACCGTGTGCTGATGCGCTACGAGGAGCGGACCTCGTTCCTGCGCAGCAAGCTGCGCAGCGCCACGATCCGCGAGGGCCTGCTCAGGTAGGGAGGGCCCCCGCCCAGAACCGTGAAGCCGGCCTCCCTGCCCGTTCTTCTTGTCGAGGGTTCGCCCCTCCTCGGTCCCCATCCCCTGCTTTGTTTTACCCAGGATCTTCTTTCGCTTTCTTCCTCCTCCTCCTCCTCCGTCCTTGCCATCCCCCCCTTCTCTTTTCTCCCTTCCTCCTGTAATACTAGAGCACACGGGCCTTTCCCCCACGTTGATCCATGCAAGGACTGACCTCGACGCCCGGCCTCGCACCGGTGGTCCTCGCTCCTCCATCCCTTCCTCGTGGTCTGAGGCGGCGTGAGTGTGAGCCTCTTTGGGATGCGAGACGGCGTGAGAGCAAGCAAGGGCGCAAAGAGCGGTGGGATGGCGCGCACGGCTGAGTGGGGAGGGGAGCGGCATCTCGTCATGGTTCGTTTGCAAGGAAGAGGAAAAGGAGGGGCTCAACAAGGCCGGGCCGAGGATGGACGTCCATCCGTTTCCTGGTGATTGGACGCAGGGTTTCTGGTAGGGCCGTCGGTCGGTCGGTCTTGCCCCATCGTCGCTGCGCTGCTGCTGCTGCTGCTGCTGCCGCCGCCGATGCAGCATGGGCGGTGGCTGCGGTCTTGTACGGATCTCCCGGGCGACCGGGCTGACGGCGTCGTCGCTGCTGCGGAGGCGGTTTAGAACGAGCCACGGTCGACCTTCTCGAGGACTGCAGGAGCAGGCAGAGTGCAGACGCACGAGTCAAGCCAACGAGGTCAGCATCGCGCCGGGCGCGCTGGGCCATTGCACGCTACTCACCAGTCTCGTAGGAGACCTCGCTGAAGTCGGTGCCCTGGATCTCGGTCGAGATGCCGACGAGCGACTTTCGCAGGGCGTCCTTGGACGAGGCGTAGATCATCTTCTGCTTGATCTTGGCGTCATCTGGCGACCTGTAGGATGGGAGAGGGGCGAAAAGCGGACAGCGTTCGGAGGCGGGTCGAAGCGCGGCGGGCTCATGTGTCAGAATCGCCAGCGAGAACAGCCTGGCTGGTCTGGTTGGAGCTGGAACGGCGAGCGAGGGAAGCTAGACCCCATCGGATCGAAGCCAGCTCGCCCGCCTGCCTGCCAGCCAAACAGACCCCTGCGGGCGGCCCACTCACCAGGCAAAGAAGCAGATCTTGTTCCTCTTTCCGGCGCCCTCCTTCTCGAACTCAAAGTCGTAGATGGCCCATCGGCACTCGGTCGGCGGGAGCTGGGCGATGAACTCATCGTAGTCGGACGAGCTGGACGTCTTCTCGACAATGATCTCGGTGTTGTCGTTGTTGATGGCATAGATGATGAACTTGGCCTGCTTCTTGAGCTTGAGCTCCTGGAACTGCGAGATGCAGTCCTGGTGGACCTTGACGCCGGACGACTGTCATGTCATGTGTCGAGGGGCCGAAGGATCAGGCAGCGTCGGAGGGATCGATGGGCCGGCGGCAGGGAAAAGAGTCGAAGCGAGGCGCAATGGACGCACGGTCAGCTCCGCGGGGGCCATGCCACGAGGGCGCACGCTCGAGCAGCCCGAGGTGGACAGCAAGCGATGCGATGGACGTACCATGGTGGGAGATGTGAGCGGAAAGGGTGCGGGTTGGTGGTGGTGGAGGTGGTGTCGGGTGCTGAGGGGTCAGAAGGATCGATCGGACGGGGGAGCGTGTGATGGGAGGTCGGAAGGCGGTGTTGATTGGTGTCGGTTGGCCGGGTGGCCGGGGGCCCCCAGCCTGGCTCTGCCTGTCTACCTGCCTGCCTGCGTGCATTCGTCGGACGAGGGCGCCGGGGCTGCTCGTTCTCTCTGAGCTCGGACCTGGTCTTCCCCCTGGCCTGCCCTTGCCCTAGCCTGTGCCTGCGCCTGCGCCTGCGCCTTGCCTGGCCGCCCGGCTGGCGATGGGGGCGTCACGACATCCCGTGTGCGCCTCGCCTGTCCTGGTCTGCCGGCCTGCTGCCTGACCCCCGCGTGTTGGTCCGGGAGCCGGACGTCGAGGAGGCGGGGCAGCAGCGCGCCGAGGTGATCGAATTGCGCATCGGCTCGGGGCCGAGCAAGGGCGCTCCTCAGGGTCCCTGCAGGCGGGCGGGTGTTTCTGGGCTGGCCCATGTAGCGAGGCTGGGCCGGCCTGCCGCGCCCAACTGCACCTCCAGGCCTCTCTGGACACTGCCGCTGGATGCTTGGCCAGGGCTGTGCTGACCCTTGGCAAGTTGGCTGACCGCTCCTCGGAGGAAGGGATCCTCGAGTAGTCGGACGCTTACCGGCGGAAGGTGGCGAGGTGGACAGCTCGACCTGCGCCGGAAGGCTCCCGTAGGGCCTGGCGGGACTCACACAGCGCGCAGACTGACCGAGGGTGGCGTCGAGAGCATGGCCAAGCTAAGAAGGTAGGCCAATCGAGATGCCGGCTGCAGCGCACGTACGCTTGCTGGCAAGCCCACTACTCTGAAGGCCGCATATTCAGGCTCGAGGCCCGGCCTGACGAGGCTCAGCCGGGCGCGACCATCGACCGAGGCTCGGGCACGAGTTCGGGCGGCGAACAAGGCCTGCCCGGCCTGGCCTGGCCTGGCCTGGCCTGGGGCGGGCCGTCGAATTCCATCTACGCGTGCGACGCGTCCGTGATTTGCCTGCTGAACTCGATGAAGTCACAGAAGAGCTGGGCGGCTGGCTGGCCGGCCTGGTAAGCTTGCAAAGAGCCGGGCGGGGCCAGGCTGTTCAGCGACCTTCGCCCTTGTGAGGCGGACGGCCCGGCGCGTCAGCGAATTTCCCCTTCTTCTGCTCACTCAACGCGACAAACGCGCGAAAACCTTCGGCGGGACGCGCGCGCGTGCGTGGTTTTTCTCAAACGGCGTTAAGGCTGGCCAGCAGGCTGAGGCCAGGCCGAGGCCAGCCAGCCAGCCAGCCAAGCCAGGCAGGCGAGAAAGCGGCTCGATCTGTTGCTCTCCCTTTCTCAGCCGCCGTCGCGTCGAGGGCCTGGGCTGGCCTGGCCTGGCGGGCAGGCCGGCTTGGCTTAAAAAGACGACGCCTCCCCCCAACCAACACCTCACCACCTCCCACCATTCACCTGTCCCCTTCCCCCTCCGCCATCGCTCCTGCAGCCTTTCTCCCTCGTCTTCTTAGCCATCGCTGTTATACTCCTTACGAGCAGCAGCGCCACCGCCTTGACAAGCGCGCGCCACCACCACCACCGCCATCTCGCCTCGCCTCGCCGCCACCGCCGCAACGCCACCTCAACCGAGTCGAAGCACACCGCTCTCCTGGAGACAGCGCAGGTGCAGGCATATCCCGCCCCCCTTTCACCACCGTACCGCCAGGTGAAACCCCCATAGCACATCGTCGCCCACGATGATGTACGTTTACAAGAGAGGTGAGCATCGCAGACAGGCGCAGGACCCCTTTTGTACGACGACTCCTCGGCATCGCATCACCCTCTGACACTCGACCGCATCGACCCCAACTCCCATCCTCTTTCCCTCTCCCCCTCGCGCAGATGGCCGCAAGGAGCAGGTGCGCTTCGACAAGGTGACGGCGAGGATCTCGAAGCTCTGCTACGGCCTCGACAAGGACTTTGTCGACCCGATTGAGATCACGCGCAAGGTCATTGACGGCATCTACGAGGGCGTCACGACCGTCGAGCTCGACAACCTCGCCGCCGAGACTGCCGCCTACAAGACGACGTCGCACCCGGACTATGCGGTGCTGGCGGCGCGGATCGCCATTAGCAACCTGCACAAGGAGACCAAGAAGAACTTTAGCCAGGTCGTCCACGACCTGTACGAGTACGTCAACCCCAAGAACGGCAAGCACAGCCCCATGATCTCGGACCGCACCTACGAGGCCGTCATGAAGAACAAGGACCTGCTCGACTCGGCCATCATCTACGAGCGCGACTTCCACTACAACTTTTTCGGCTTCAAGACGCTCGAGCGCTCCTACCTGCTGCGGATCGACGGCAAGGTGGCCGAGCGGCCGCAGCACATGCTGATGCGCGTCGCCGTCGGCATCCACGGCGACGACGTCGAGAGCGCCATCGAGACGTACAACCTCATGTCGGAGAAGACCTTCACCCACGCCTCGCCGACGCTCTTCAACGCCGGCACGCCGCACCCGCAGCTGTCGTCGTGCTTCCTGGTCACGATGAAGGACGACTCGATCGAGGGCATCTACGACACGCTCAAGACGTGCGCCATGATTTCCAAGACGGCGGGCGGCATCGGTCTCAACATCCACTGCATCCGCGGCACGGGCAGCTACATTGCCGGCACCAACGGCGTCAGCAACGGCATCGTCCCCATGCTGCGCGTCTTCAACAACACGGCGCGCTACGTCGACCAGGGCGGCAACAAGCGGCCGGGCGCCTTTGCCATCTACATTGAGCCGTGGCACTCGGACGTCTTCGAGTTCCTCGACCTGCGCAAGAACCACGGCAAGGAGGAGGTGCGCGCCCGCGAGCTCTTCTACGCCCTCTGGATCTCGGACCTCTTCATGAAGCGCGTCGAGCAGAACGGCGACTGGTCGCTCATGTGCCCCAACGAGTGCCCCGGCCTGGCCGACGTCTACGGCGACGAGTTTGAGCAGCTCTACGAGCGGTACGAGGCCGAGGGCCGCGTCAAGCGCACCGTCAAGGCGCAGAAGCTGTGGTACGCCATCCTCGAGGCCCAGACCGAGACGGGCAACCCCTTCATGCTCTACAAGGACGCCGCCAACAAGAAGAGCAACCAGAAGAACCTCGGCACCATCAAGTGCTCCAACCTCTGCACCGAGATCATCGAGTACAGCGCGCCCGACGAGGTGGCCGTGTGCAACCTGGCGTCGATCGCGCTGCCCACCTTCATCGACCCCGTCACCAAGGCGTACGACTTCAAGCGCCTCCACCACGTCGCCAAGGTCATCTGCAAGAACCTCAACAAGATCATCGACATCAACTACTACCCCGTCCCCGAGGCCAAGAAGTCCAACTTCCGCCACCGCCCCATCGGCATCGGCGTCCAGGGCCTCGCCGACGCCTTCATGATCATGGGCTTCCCCTTTGAGAGCGCCGAGGCCAAGCGGCTCAATGTCCAGATCTTCGAGACCATCTACCACGCCGCCCTCGAGCGCTCGTGCGAGCTGGCCGCCGAGCACGGGCCCTACGAGACCTACGAGGGCAGCCCGGCGTCGCTGGGCGAGCTTCAGTACGACATGTGGGGCGTCGTCCCCTCGGACCTCTGGGACTGGGCCGAGCTCAAGGCCAAGATCGCCAAGCACGGCCTGCGCAACTCGCTGCTGCTGGCGCCCATGCCGACGGCCTCGACGAGCCAGATCCTCGGCTTCAACGAGTGCTTCGAGCCCTACACGTCCAACATCTACACGCGCCGCGTGCTGGCGGGCGAGTTCCAGGTGGTCAACCCCTGGCTGCTGCGCGAGCTCGTCGAGCAGGGCCTCTGGGACGACACCATGAAGAACCGCATCATTGCCCACGGCGGCTCGATCCAGAACGTGCCCGGCATCCCCGACCGCATCAAGAAGCTCTACAAGACGGTGTGGGAGATTAGCCAGAAGACCATCATCGACATGGCGGCCGACCGCGGCGCCTTCATCTGCCAGTCGCAGTCGCTCAACATCCACCTCTCGGCGCCCACGTTTGGCCAGCTGACGTCGATGCACTTCTACGGCTGGAAGAAGGGCCTCAAGACGGGCACCTACTACCTGCGCACCAAGCCCGCCTCCAACGCCATCCAGTTCACCCTCTCGGTGTCCGAGGTGGCCGAGGCAAAGGCGGCGGGCAAGAAGTCGCCCGCGCCCACCAAAAAGGCCATCGTCAACGGCTCCGCGTCGACGTCGTCGCCGGGCA